TAAAAAGCATATGCTAACTGTTGTATTCTCCATAAATGTGGTGTACTGTCTTCTCCCCTATAAAAGATCTTGTGTGCTTTGTATGGACATAACAATAGGAGGACATTATTTAAAATACTGTATTTTGAACCTTTGCCATCAGCAGCTACGTTATCATTTGAACATTCTAAAACGATTGGATCAACAAATAAATCCTATAATACAAATTATTCAGTCACTTTCTCACTATTTCCAGTGACTGAAATAAGTTAAAAATTGAGTTACTTATTACATTTTAACTTATTGACATTGCTTTAGACTATTATTGAGCAGAACCCATCATCATCATGGACACATGTCCTCTGGAATTGTGGTTGAAACATGAAAGGATATATAAATCTCTCGCATAACTGGCACATAAATGTCTTGCAACACCAGCTACAACAGTGCTATGCAATTGTTATCACTTTCAGGTGATATTGTAAACAAGAAGTAAGCAACATTATCTCCTACAATCTTGTCTAAGCAATTGGTCGAACAAGAAGTAGGATTGAGTGGACTTGTAGGCTTTGAATTTTTACATTGTTTTACTTTTGCATGCAGTTATTTTTGCATATAATTTAATATTTGCAAGTTCAATTTTCATTATAAAGAGGTTGCACTGCTGTATTTGTATTAGATGACTTAAAAGTACTATATTTTGATTTTTTACAGTGCAAATATTTGTAATAAAAATAAGTATAAAGTGAGCACTGTACATTCTGTATTCTGTGTTTTAATTTAAATCAATATATTTGAAAATGTTGGAAAACATCAAAAAATACTGAAATAAATGGTATTACATTATTGTTTAAGAGCATGATTAATCATACAAATAAACACAATTATTTTTTAATTGCTTGACAGCCATAATTTGTGTTTCATAATTTGGACTGTAGTCACTCAAAGAGCCATTCAGTTCATGAGACCATTTGTTTTTCAGTGCATTAAACTGCAAATTTTTTTGGTGGTTTATATACTCAGATGGGCAGGAGGGTGGATTAAGTCTTCATTTTCCTCACACAGGTCTATAAAAACCTTGGAATTGCACATATTTGTTAAAAGAGCATACAAAGCTAATGAGTTCCAAATGTTTCCTTTTCTTAGATGAATGTTTCTTACAAATCATGTGTTTTTAATCTTTGTAAATTGCCCAAATTTTAGTTATTCCAATCCTACATAATCCAAGAGATACTATAATTTGTAGAATTTATGCATGTGCTCTTTAATTGCCTGTGGTTTGTCAATGCGTGGCAATATTAATAGGATCTCTCGACAAACAAATTGAAAAGACTATAATATTAATAGATGCAAAATCACTATTATAAAATATCATTACAACAGCAGTAATTATTTTAAAGACATTTATGCCACTGAAACTAAATGATCACATCATAGCAAATCCCTTTATATTTTCCCTAATATTTTGGAGATAAGATGGGAGTTAGAATTGTATTTACACAAAGATAAAAATGATTAGTACAGGGCAAACATAAGGTAACAATGAACCAAAGATAACAGATATATCTGAAATCAAGATACTTTTGTATCTGCTTATTTTCAAGTGCATTGCTTGTTCACTGTTTTCATGGAAAGAATGCATTGGCAACACTGAAATTCATTTTGAGAGAAATAAATACCTCAAGCTCTAACAAAGTGCTGTTGGAGAGACTGAAGAACAATGTAAATGTAGACTAATCCTGGACTTTTTTATCATTGAGCTGCCTGTGTTAGATGCAGATTGAGACAATGCATACTGGAGATTTTATTCCCCTATTCCTCTAAGGATATGTCTACACTGCAGTAAAACACTAGTGGCTAGTTTGTAACGGCTGACTTGGGCTTGCAGTGCTTGGGTGCTCGGGCTATGAAATTGCAGTGTGGATTTGCAGTGCTGTGGCTGGAGCCCAGATTTTGTGCTCCCCAAGTGGGAGGGTCCCGTGAAATTGCAGTGTGGATTTGCAGTGCTGTGGCTGGAGCAAAGACTTTGTGCTCCCCAAGTGGGAGGGTCCCAAACCAGAGCTCTAGCCCAAGTCCAAACACTGACACTTCAATTTTATAGCCCTAAAGCCCAAGCCCTCTAAGCATGCGGTAGGTGGGCCAACCACAGGTGTTTTATTGTCGTGTACACATAACCTAAGTGCCCTTTGACTCCTACCTCCTGTGGAGTCTGGAGAGGCATCCATTATAACTTACTCTTCCACAGGAGGCCTGTCTAAGTTAAGACTGCCTTAGCGGGATGCCCGATGGGCTGCACTGCCACCCAGAAACTCTCCATACTGTGGTCCCATTCCCAGCCCACTCCTTATGTTAGTCCTCATCAGTGCCTGCACCAGTAGAATCCTCCCCTAACATATTCAATGGCATTCTGGCCCTTTACCATGTGTAAAGGGTCCACAGCAGAGGGGAGGATCTCGCCCCAGTTTCTTCTACTGATTAGTCAATGTGTCTGCCCCTTATTTTTAAGGACTTAATATTCTTGTGCTTCAATATTAACTTTTAGAATCCCTGAGGTATCCTTTAATTTACTGTATTCTATAAAAGCCAGAAAGTCATGACTATTATGATCAAAGTTCATAAAAAAATATTTGCTAACAACATTAAAATCAAATAATCAATTCAACTGTCATTTTAGTGCAAAGATATTTTTTACTGTTACAAATCACAAAATAATTCAAATTAGTTATGTAAAGAGTAATGGAACTTTACTTGATAGGAATTTTCTTTTTTGGCATTCATATTTGTTTTGCTTTTTACCTTTTAAAAATGTATTCACATATTATTTACTAATATGATACATTTTATTATAAATAATCAGAATTAATTGCTTGATATCATTGTAAAAGATTGTATGCACCAGTGATTTATTTTAATTTCATTTTTTATTTAAATTTATTTCTATATTTATTTTGAACAATACCAGTTAATTTTCTTCACTACTTAAGAGTGAAGAATTAACTGATTCAAATTTACTATGTATGGTAGTAAATTTACTATGTATGGTAATTATTCAATAAAATGAATAATGTTTGAAGTTGAAATCCTACAAATTTAAAACTGTTCTTTTACTTCCCTTTTGCAAGCAGATTAATAAAAAATTTGATTACATATACAGTATTTAATTTCTTAAACTTTCCTATTAGTGTAATCTATGCAAAATGACTTTGCCTGGTCAATGAGGGGCTTCACCTGCTAGTTAATATTAAATGCAGTAAAACACATTGTGGTAAATATGTATTAACTAGGGATTGGCAACTAGCACAGCTAATTAAACAAGAACAAACCAGAGCCGACCTGGTCCCTCACACTGACCAGCCAAACTTGTAAAGGTCCACTCATCAATAGCACCAGTGCATTTTGTTGTGTGCTACAGGTCCCATTTTACACCACATTTCAGCAATGCACTATTTAACATCACATGGAATGTGACCACTTTTTTAGTAGAAAACATGAAGGACCAGATCCACAGCTGGCATAAGCTGGCATAGTTTAATTGAAATCAAATATTTCAATTGATTTGTGCCAATTTACACCAGCTGGGAGGGAGTCTATGAAAAAAGATAAAAGGACAATTGCAAAATACCTTTGAGAAACATTGTTGGAATTATGTTTCATCCTTTGAATATAATGTGAAAGGTAATGAAGCTAATAACAGAAGGTGGGAAGTCGTCTCTTTTTCATCCTTTTTGAAACAGCTTGAGCAATTCTGTATTGTGCAGTTGCTTAAGTGACTTGATTCTCAGGCTTCCTATTTACCTATTAGTGATATTAAAATTCTAATAATGTAAGGGCTAGAAAGATGGCTTTACAAGTGAGAATCTGGCAGGTGGCATAATAAGCAGACTTTTTCTCTCATCATTTCTTCATTGTGCAAATAAAATGATGTCATAGAAAGAGAAGATGCTAATTAATTTTTTTCCACTCTTAGGTCTAGAAAAATAAATCTGTTTTATGTGCAGACAAAACATGTTGCACCTCAGAATCTCACATTTGACTTTCAATATATCCCATGCTATCAAGCCTAATTACAATGATCATGTCTTGATATGAATCCTGAGGCTCTTTGACACAGCACACATGAAAAAAAAAAACCTACCTGACTCACATTTCTCATGGATATAATAACTGCAGACTAATGTTACTCATCAGGTTTCTAATTAACTGTATTTATAATTTATCAGTTTTCTTCAGGGTAAAGCAAGGAAATAACTGGAAATTTTGTTTACTAGAATAAAATTAACTGAAGGGAGAAATGTTCTTCCCAGTTGTATTCAAGGTAGCAAAGATAGGTGATGTCAAGACGTTTAAACGCATTAAATAACTTCATCTTTAATATACTCCAGTCACTGGGAGCAATGTGAAAGAGATAGTCTTGTAATTTGAGCAAGTAAAATGAAACAAATTATCATTGCACTCTGTTATTAAATACGCTTATTCTTGAATTTCCAATAAAATAATACACAAATTATGCTTAACCTTATAAAATACACACAAGTAAAAAGTGATAATTTCTGCCAGACTTTGAACAGAATTTGCTGAAGAAATGGAGTTTCAGTTATGCAATTGTCAAGTTCAAATTTTTCCATCAACCTAGCAAGACACACTCACTAAAGCATATAATTCAACTGTGTAAATGACTGACAGGCTTCTTTAAATAATATAGCCCCCGAATCTGTAGCTGCAGTCATGGAGTGCAGAATCTCAGGAGACGGGACTGCGATGGAGGCTTGTGTGCTGGATTAGTTCCCCAGTATAAATTTACCTGCCAATGGCCCCAGCCAGGGATCCCCAGGGATCGCACAGTCTCTCCAACAGTGCAGTTAAGTTAACATCATAGTGTGGTTTTTTCCTCGAAAAAACTTCAATTATGTCCACACTGCAATCGTGTTCTTATGAAAAAAATTGAAAGAACAAAGGGGTTTTTACAACATTGGTAAACCTCATTCTACAAGGAAGAGCGCCTTCTCCAAAAGAGCTCTTTCAGAAAAAGGCAGAAGAGGGAGTTTTTTCGAAAGAAAAGGCCTCCAGGAAAAAGCACAGGAGTCCTAGAGGACACTCCGTCCACACTAGTCACAGTTCTATAGTTCCTGTCTCCTGCCAGCTCTTAAAGATGCAGGCACCCTGACCACGTGGCTCTGACTGCTAAAGGCCTGCTGATCCATGGCACAGTCACAAGCCCCCCAAGACCTCCCTGGCCCACACAGGGAGCAGCACCAGTGCTCTGAGGACCCACCATGGGGTATTAAATGCCGGGTACCCTCCTGGTCCAGGTCGGAGATCCTGTGCCTCCTCGAGCTGTGGGTCCAGGTGACCAGTGTAGGCTTCATGAGCCATGGTATTAGTGGGTAGGCTGCATCCCCGACAATGCACAGTGGCATCTATACATCCCCACGTGAATGTCCCACTGTGGGAAGAATGTGCCAGCCTCCAGCTTGTGGTAGAGTCTAAAGTTCCTGAATATGCAGGTATCATATGCCTGGCCCAACCACCCAACAAAAATGTCCAGAAACTGTACATGGTAGTTGACTAGGGGCCTGCGGCACCATGGAGAAATAACCTTTCCTGATAATGTACTGGGTGGCTTGATGCTGTGGTGCACGGATCAGAATGTGGGTCCCATCAATCGCTTCTCTGCAGTCCGGGAAGCCCAGGGCAGCAAATCCGGCCACAGTCAGGCCCAGGTACCTGAGGCGGATGACCCTGTGCAGCAGGATGGAGTTGATGGCCCTCACAACCTGCAGAAGGAAACAAACAAACACACAAAACATAGAATGAAAGGGAGCGCCTGAGCCCTTGGGAGGTGCCCGTCCCCTTCCTCTGTCCCTCAAACAGCCTAGGAGCCACCCCTTATGAGGCTGCCCACCCAGCATCAGGGCTGTGTGAGGGCGGAACAGCACAAGTCCCCTGGGGATGGGCCTTCCCCCCACTCCTCCCCCCACACACCTTTCCCTAGGGTCCTCCTTTTCCGGTACTTCTCCCCCTGCAGGAACTGCAGTCCAAGAGTTCCTTATGTCCATGAGGAGGACCCCGACAGTGGACTTCCCCACGCCAAACTGGTGGCCCATTGACCGGTAGCTGTTGTAGGTGGTAAGCTTCTACACAACAATAATGACCCGCTTCTCCAGGGGGATGGCAGGCCGCAGGTGGGTGTTGCATCATCAGAGGCCAGGAGAGAGCCAGGCACACGGCTCCATAAAGGTAGTGTTTCACATGTGGAAGTTGTTGAGCCACTGCTGGTTGTTCCACTACTCCATCACCAGCCAGTCCCACGAGTTGAAACTGGTGTCCAGCCTCCAGAATCGTCTCTCGACCATGGCGTGTGGGTGCAAGGGCAATGCATCCCCAACGAGGTGTACTGGTAGTTCGGAATAGGAATCCTAGTCCGAACTACCTAGTTCGAGCCCCGTGTAGCCGCGCTACACGGGATTCGAACCAGCGGGGTTTTAAAAATGGCGGCTCCCCGCTTATGCAAATGAAGCCCGGGAAATTCAAATCCCGGGCTTCATTTGCAAGTGCGGTATGCCTACATTACCCCGCTAGTTCGAACTAGCGGGGTAGTGTAGACATACCCTCATAGAGGTAGGCAAGCACACAACAGCACCTGAGAAATGGCTGTCCAGCGGGGTCCCTTTAAGCACGCGTCTCAGATAGCCTTAGGCAACAGCACTCGGAAGCAACTGCTGATCTAATGTCCTGGCTGAAGTGGTTTTATGCAAGAGAGCGTCCAAACTGTATGAACACTCTCTCTCTAAAGAAGTTTTTTCAGAAAAAAAAAAAAAAAAAAGATACTTTTGAAAAAAGGATGCAGTCTAGACATACCCATAGAGTTCTTTGTTTCTTCTTCCTAGAGAGATCTTAAGAAAGGAGAAAGCCACTCTCTAGTTCTCTGCTTAAAGGACATGGCATATGTCTGCTGCTCATCCAACAACTAAATGAATTTTCTTTCCCCCAGCCATGCTGCTGTCCATAGGGAGAGGGTCACGTCGGCATGGGTATCTTGGCTATATGCCATTGAAGGATCTCTTTAGGCTAGAGGGCTTGTCTATGGTGGAAACCACACCACAGCTGTGCTGCTGCAGCTGCGCCACTGATTTTTCACACCTGAGTAACATATTTAACACATCTTAATTTTCCGGTATGGACCAGACTGAAGCGATCCTCCCATTGCCAATTAAGAACTGGTCTACACTAGAGTATGGACGTGAAAAAGCAATTCAATTACTGAAGTGGTTGTATGTCAATGTGACTTAGGTCAACTTAATTTTATAGTATAAATATACCTAAGCCAGCTTTGTGGGCATAGAAGTCCAGCAAAGCAGGAAAAGTAGAAGGTAGGGTCTTTGACAGTTTTTAAGGCCAAAAGTGGCCAAGAAATCTAATCTGACATTCTCTACAAAACATGTCTAAGAAGTCCTTAGAAGTCTAAGAAGTCCACATATCTCTATGTCTTTTGGAGCAAAACTGATTTAGAGCTGTGAAATTTCTTCAGCTAATAATTCTTTTTAGTTCTTTACTAAAAGCATTTATGAGAAATAGTGGTTTGGCCCAAGAATAATAGTAGACAGTGGTAATTAGAGAGAATACCAAGGATATGCAGTATTACAGCTTAACTTTATTTTAATTGAAGTTACACATTTATATGCAAGCTCCATGAGTGAAATCCAGGACCTATTGAAGTCAACAGATGTTTTGCCACTGAATTCCACAGAGTCCAAATTTAGCCAATAGCTTTTAGCATTGTCTGTATAGACCCATAGTTTTCCATAATTGAGAGAAAGGTAGCTGCCCTATAAAGACTTAATGAAGCAATTTCAGTTGTTTCTCGCAGACTACATATTATTTTTGCCTATATAGTACCATTCCTCAATGAGAGGGTTAATGTAGTCTGAGAAGTAATGAGTTGGCTGGCCCTTGATGTGAACACAATCTGATTGATTATATGCACAGTGCACTAACTCTCTGCAGATGATGCCTGTCTGTGTATCATGCATTCAGCAATCAGCAACATCTTTAATACAGATGTAAACCTTTGTATTTATGCCAGCTCAACTCCAATGATGTAAAAAGGAATGTCAGCTAGTGAATGTTCATTCTATTTCAAAGGGGCCACTCACAGCAGTGCAGCATGCAAAACTACACATTGCACTGTGCTGTCACCATTTGCCAGTGATATAATTCCTGTTTAATACCAGATGAGGGCTGAATCTGGCCATGATAGAACTGAGTATGCCATGACATTAGGTTAAACAAAGTCCCACTTTATCTTCACAATCCTTTTTATTTTTCTTTAACCCCTCCACACAACCAAATATGCAAATTACACTAATTCTTTCCCTCTATAATGCCCTGTGGCTCCCAGTTAGATTACTCTTACACATTCATTTTCTGAACCACCAATACCTGGCATTTAATTCATGCCACCATTTAGTGCCATTGCTGAGTTAGGTCAAAAGACTGCTAAGGGAGTTGCAGCTGCCTATTACAGAATGAAGTTAGCCAACTTCAGCTCCAGATGTTCCCCTATGTTTGAGGCTAGATGACATTCAGAGGGTCTCAAACTCTCAGCCCTTAATAAAATAGGAAACTGAATGGGATCTAGAAAATATTTATATAGTGTCTTTCTCTCAGATTTACATGTCAGGATAACTAGCATCTGTACAGCAAGATAACAGACAGATGAACCAGGACAAACTTCCACTTGTTGTTTCCAGTCTTCTTTGGATTCAACTTTACTGAGATAAAAACGTCAGGAAGAAAGATAAATACAGGATGAACCTCTCTAATCTGGCACCCTTGGGATCTGACTGATGTCAAACCAGAGAATTTTCTGGACCACGGGAGGTCAATATTTTAGAAAAAAAAATTAGGGATATATGAGAGCTACATACAGCACAGAACTCTGAGAGCCAGGGCTGGTGGCTGTAAACAAACTTTACAGGACCACAGGAAACTTGGCCACAGCTATGATAAGCTGACATCTGGCTAACTAAAATCAAGCCAAACCATTGATTTTGCCTACCAAAGAGTGGGGGACTAGAGAGATTCAACCTGTATAACTTACAATTTGAAGAAAAAGAGCCATCCCAGACTCTAGAAATTACTAAGGAAGTCATATTTAAGTGTGGTAAGAATGGTAGATGGGTGGTTTGCAGAAGGAATTTCCTCCTATAAAATTTAAATATTTAAAAATCTAAGAAAACTAACAGAATTATCAAGAAATTTCAGCCTTTCACTATACATACATCAGAAGCTAAAGATACTTTAGTACATTTAGGTTTGCCAGTTCTATCAAATCTTGCAAAGAGGCCATATGCACTAAAATATCTGAGGAAGAAAAACTGCAAAGAAGATAGAAGTTGTAGAAGAATAATTGAAATTGAATGTATACATGTATTGGAATTATTGATGAAAGTAAAGATGCAGAATTGATTAAATATATCTAACTCCTTACAAACACTATTGTGAACAAAAATTTAATTCATATAAATGCATGAATCAAAATCAAGCAACCTTTCTCTTCTTCTGATGAAGCAGCTCCAAAAACAGTAACCACAGAGCCTTTGGCCTGGGCATCTGAAGCATTACAATATTTGTATTTGTTTTCATTTTCTTTAAAAGTATAGGTGAAAATGCACCCTGATAGCCACTCTCTTGAAATTCCTGTTAAGTATGATTTTTCCAACAGCTACAAGTAATTCAAACCCTTATGATTATCCTATTAAAGTTCCTCATTTTTAACTGGTCTTATAGTAGGGCTTCTGCTCCCAGTATTAGATCCAAACTCTCACCCCTTACTCTGGGATGGAGACCTGTCCTACAACCAGAAATCACTCCAATGCTGTTATTAGTATCAATCAACTTTCTCTGCAACATTTCTGTTTATCCTTAAACAGCCAGTTCCAAGCTAGTGCCCCCCAGCACCAGTCCTGAGGCACTGATCAGGACACCTCCTTTCCTTTGGAGTCTGGCTGATTTTCACATGTTATGCACACAGACTCTCGGAACCCAGACTCCAGTCTTTTTCCTGCCAGCTCACTAACCAAGCAGTTCTTAGAGGTGTGAAGAGACCAGCTCTTCCTCTCTGCCCATTCCCCAGAGGGTCAGGGCCAGACTTTGCAGTGCTGATGATGATCTCTGGAGTGGGAACTTAGGGATGCTATAATACCTTTTGTGCAACTTTGGTTAATGCTTCTTTAAACCCAGAGCCCCAAGGTGGTATCAGAGTACCAGTCTATAACATGCTGCAGATGGTAACCTACCTAACAAGCTTCTTGGTCACATATAAGGAGCAAAGGGACTATAGAAGTGCTCCTACTCTATTTCCCACAAATCATACACTTATCTCTCTGTCTCAGCACCATCAAAGGAAAGGATGCATTTAGGGGCTAGCTATAGTTCTCGTGGGAGGGCTGGCAGTCTTTCCCTCAAAAGACAGACTGGTTCCTCGCTTGGAACAACAGTCTCAAAAGGGAGACATTTACTTAAGATCAGATTTCTCCTGAACACCATAAATAAACTGTGTGGAATAGCTAGAAAACAGTTTTACCATAGATTCACTGTTCTTTTGTTCAGCTTGTACCGCCAAAAACCAGAGAGAGATAGCACAAATACTGCTCTCCTCCCTGCCCCCAAACAGGGACCGAGCCAAAAATTTAGCAAGACCATGCTTGTAGTGAAACCTCAAAACCTAAGCAAGACAGCAATTAGGCAGTAAAATGATCAGTTACATTGGAAAGGTCTAGACAAAGGAAAGGACAATAATAGAACAAACAATTTCTTACCAATAATTTCTTTTCTACTAGCAGCATCTCCCACAATTTTGGACATCTGGGTCACCCTTCTCTCTCTGCAGCTCAAAGAGGCAGATCTGCATTTTGGTGCCGCACTGTCTGGCCACACCTCCTGGGCTCCAGCTTGCTGTCAGATAAATGATTCCCAAACTGTAAAAGTTACATAACATCATTATTCAAAAATATTCCAGAGATAACAAAATAACTATGCACTTTAGACCAAGCAAGACAGTCATGTGGTAACGATTCCACTTCATATCTGATTCTTGATTCATGAGCAATCCAGGGTGGGTTGAATTGTGAGAGATGCTGCTAGCTGAAAAGAAATTGTAACCAAGAAATTTTCCATTCTGAAACCCAGTGTCTCCCACAATTCTGGACATCTGGGAAATAGCAAGCAGTGGTGGAGGGAGGGTCATGAAACAAAATAAATTGGTAAGAAAAAAGTACCCTTCTTCTAGTGAGCTCACTCAAAAATCCATATTATTTCTTGGCTACCATTTGCAACACCTTCCTGCCAAAAGAGGCCATTACAGAAAACAGAAGGTTCACCTTATAATGCTTAATGAAGGTATTAGCTATAGACCAAGAGTCCACTTCGCAATTTTCCAAAGTTGACATTGCTTGCCCTTTCCAATCCTGAAGCTGCTAAGGATCTCATGAAGTACACTTTGATCCCTTTTGGGATTTATACACTTGGTCAATACCTAGTTTAATCCACCTAGGAATGGAGGACTTAGAAGCTCTGAGCCTCTTGCATATCAGGTGGAAGGGCAAGAACAGGGAGCCTGATCTTTCTGTGTATTCTGTATCCTTGAGACAGACTTTCAGTGCTCTTCTGACATCTAAGAAGTGCCATGAATTTTCATTTGGATGTTGTGGTTTTGGACAGAATGAAGAAAGCACAGCACGAAAGAAAGATACATTTACCATAAGAAAAAAAGTCATTTTGGTATCCTGAGTACCACCTTGTCCTATTGGAACATGCAGTAAGACTCCTGTACAGATTACACTGACACTTGCCTGACAGATGCAACGGCTACTAAGAAACAAGTTTAATGGATAAATAATTTGTAGACACTGAAGTCAGAGGCTCAGCAGGATTATTTATCAGGACCATCAGAACTAACAGAAGGTCCCATTTTGGAAAGAGTAGCTTGACCATTGATCTAGCTAATTGGACCGCTCAAAAGAATCTGGCTAACTGTGAAATATCTGCCAGGGAGCCCAAGGATCCTACAAATAGCATGTTATTAAGCACAGACAATGTGTCATGGTACAGGGTGAAGGCCTCTGTCTATGCCTTTTTGAAGAAAATCTAGAATGGTTAGATTTCCTGAATTTCTAGGATTTGCACTGTGTTCTTGACACCAGTGTTGAATCTGGACGAGAGGTATGAGTATGCTTCTAGTGTCAATACTCTTCTAAATAAAAGCAACATCTCAATGACTAGGGAGGACAGGGTAGGACCTTATGCTTCTTTCTCAATAACCAGGCTGGTAGTTGACGTTGTTTTGGGTCTGGATGAAGAGAACCTTTGTGAGGCGGATGTCTGGTCTCCCCAGAAGCTGGAGTGAGGGTCCCAGTGACAGTGCTATCAGGTCTGAGACACAAGGACTCCTCAGCCAATGAGGATGAATCAGTGTAACCATCATCTGTTCTTATTTTCTTTTCTAGATCTAAACCACCTTTCCCAAGGTTACGTCTACACTTGCACTCTCTTTCGTGGGAGGGATGCAAATGTAGAGAATCGAAATTGCAAATGAAGCAGGGATTTAAATATCCTGTGCTTCATTTGCATAATTATGGACTGCCGCAGTTCTGCAATAGCGCTATTTTGAGACATCAAACTCGGTCCCTTCCCTCGAAATAACTTGTAAACCTCATTTTTTGAGGAGTAAGGGTTATTTCAAGGGAAGGGTTTTCTCTCGAAATAACCTCCCAGGGACCGAGTTTGATGTCCTGAAATAGAGCTATTGCAGAACAGCGGCAGTCCACAATTATGCAAATGAAGCACAGGATATTTAAATCCCCGCTTCATTTGCAATTTCGATTCTCTACATTTGCATCCCTCCCTCAAAAGAGGGTGCAAGTATAGACATACCACAATAGTGGAAAGGGTGGAAAAGCATAAAGCAGGCCATACAACCAGCTGTGCAATAAGGCATCTCTCCTCATGGATTGGGGGTCTGTCTCCCTTGTCAAGTATATATATATTTTTTTGCATTAATACAATTCATGAACAGGTTGGTTGAAGGGAGGTAAATGATGAATGATGAGATTGAAAACTTCCTCATTTAGGCACCAGTCAGAGCTTTTCATCCTCTGCCTGCTGAGCCATTTTGCCTTTTGGTTCATGTTCCCTTTGATGTGGATCACTCTGGGGAAAAGGAGAAACTATATTGCCAACCTGATTTTTTTCAAATGCTGTGTATTCCCTCTTTATTATTTAAATATGAGATTATAAAAATACTAGCAGATTTACCTGCTATTTCTTGTGTCCTTAACTCTTAATTTATTTTAAATAGAAGGAAAATGTACAGGCTTTATTTAATTTTTTTAATAAATTATTTAAGACTATATTTTTAAGAACATAAGAATGCACTTTCTTTGCTTTGCCAGGCCTGTAGGAGAGGAACTAGCAGGGAGGTACATAGTAGAGGCTCAGGAAGAGTTAAAGTTCCAAGGCAGTTACCAAACCAGGCAGGAGGAAGAATGCTACACCTCCTGCCCCCACACTGCCCAAAAATCTGAGCAGGAAAATTAAAATTGAAGAAGGTGTTAGGGCAGGAGCAAAAGAAACCGTCTGTGCAGGCAGGGAATCTGGCAACACACAGGGGCCAAGGTGGCATGGTCAGACAGCACTGTGCCAAGCTGCTGATCCACTTCCATGAGCTGCAGAGAGAGGAGAGGAGCAGCCAAGACATCCAGAACTGTGCGAGATACCAGGCTGCAGAGAGCTGTTTTAAATCTAGCCCAGTGATGGGAGCAGCCAAGCCCTGAAGAAACTAGAGAAGAGGAGCCTGACAGAATTAGGCCTGCTCAGAGGGGGCCTTTGAGATCAGCTGTGAGCTGTAAGTGGAGGGAGGAGGGCTGGAGGAAACAACCACCAGTGTATTTTAAGCAGATTCACTTTGTTCACGTGCAAACGGATGGAAGCCCTTGTAACATCAGTGACTTTCTGAAACAGAGCTAGAAGATTGCATTGGCAAAGAAAGTAAATAGTTTGTCAGAAAGAAGAATCTGCCCCATGTTAAAAGGCTATATATGGATATAATTGACCACATTTCATCTGAAGGGAAAAGAAAAAGTTGTGGCCAACTTCAAAAGGAAACTGAACAAAAGTATCTGTAATGATTAATGAATTAACATCACTGAATAAATGAGCTATTCTGAATGTTTGCCCAGGGCCAGTCCTGGGAGAGTTTCCAGAACCATTGTCATTTTTCCTGGAACTCTGTTGCCTTTAAGGATTCCACAGCTGCAAGAATTGAGAGGACAGTTCAAAACTGGCAAATTCCTCCTTCAGGATTAGATTTTATTTGTTTCATCTTGAGAATTTATTCCACCCAGCTAGGAAATGTCACTTGCCTACTAAGCTACTGGTCAATATTTTTTGCATTGATACTATTGGAGATTAAAATTTACTGTCAAAAAATCACTTGGGAACAAATGTTGCTCTGGGAGGCATGCACATAGCTTGCATAAAGCCAATGAGGAATTATGTAGCTTTTGAAGTTTCTTATGTAACTCTGTTTAAACAGCCTAGAAGTCTTGCCTTTGAATACAGAGATCCCACTAGTGGTGGTCCGCATTATCATAACACAATTTAGTCCCATTACTGTAGGAAACAAAGAATAAATCTCGGTCATTTTTTGTTGAAAACAAAAGCATTTAGCTTTGTCTATTATTTCTATAGCTCTGCTATATTCTGTATCAATAATTAGTAATCAGAAATCCTCTATCCTGTCAACAGTGAGTTAAATAGGTATAACAATCCTTCATTTAAAACTAAACAGGAGAAGATGTAGCTTTGAGTGGACCAGATCTCTTCTCTCAATCACTAAACTGTGCTCACTTTGAAGTTTCCCACACTCCTCTGCTGTGATGCTTTACAGAAGCAGCTCAATCCTGCTTCAAGATGCTAAGCTAGTAAGAACAGAAGATGCAGTTGTGTTTTCTTCTTGCTCAAGCTTCCAAGTGCTGAAGAAGCTACATGAAGGCCTCCCTGCAGGCAAGTGGTGTGAATGGAAGTAGAAATTCATTCAGTTTGACATCCCAAGATTTTCCCCTGGCACAAGAGGTCAGTGATGAGTGCAGAATGTGTATAAGGCCCTACAGTAGTAAGTGCTAGTATCAAAGTCTAATATGTTATAGATATTTTTTATACTTATTGCCACTTGGTGGCCAACATAAGATTAAATAGCTATTCTTAGAAGCCCCAAGGTTATATTGAGCATGCTCCAGATGGTTTTGGGGGCAGTGTAGAGGAGTGACGGCAATTAGTTGTCTAGGTGTATCAGAATAAAAGATCTATTTCACTTCAAATCTGGTTTGAGTCTCCATATACTACACAGCTGAGACAAAGAACCTAAAAATCACCTCCAACAAGTTCTACACACTGTGTGAGAAAGTAACTTTTTCATTGCAAAGAAAAGTGTCTGCATGTGAAAAGTACAATGCAGAACAGGAGGACTGGAGTCAGCACTCAGAAAGACTCTTCACTGCAAATGCTATGAAGATGGCCACAAGAAACATATAATTGTACTGGCGTTTGTGGAACAAAAACGTATAACTTAATTAAAAGTTTGGAGGCACCGGAACAGCCCGTTGTCATACCCATTGAGGAGCTCATTAAAGCTGTCACACACTGTCATAACCCCGTTAGAGATTGTTCAGAGTTGTAAATGTAACAGTTTCTCCTGCTAATCTGGAATATCTATGTCCGTTTTTGTAGCAGAACTGAATCGTTTATCAAAGCACTGCTGGTTTGGAGGTACATTAAATGCTGTGATTTGGGATAGACTTGTTTTGATATCAGAGATGAAAGAATACAGAGACATTTGTTGACGTAGTCCATCTCAGATTATATTTTTTAAAGATCTGGAAACAGTGCAAGGCATAGAAGCATAAAATTGTATCTCTTTGAA